CTGGATCAGGGTGTTGTCTAACACCGAGTTCACTTCTTTGTCAAAACGATGTAAAAGGTCAAAGTTTTTTAAACCAGCATGCAGTAGTCCAGTCTTTAAAATGCAAACTGCATTCCCCATCTCAGGTCTGGACGGGACAACAGTCTCCTCTTCTTCATCCTCATCCTCCTCCTCGCTGCGCGCAGAACTGGTACCCGCACCAAAGCACTCTTGTACCTCTGAGATGCACATGTAAAATTGTTTATTATTTTTGCACGTTTACTTTTATAAAATGACCAAAATGGACACTATAAGCAGATTTCTTGATTACTATAAACTAATTATTTAAACAGCATTTGTATAGAAATGATTCTTTCCCAAGCCTTTTGATCCACTATAAGCGGATTCCACTGTAACAGAAAACTGAAATAAGTAATAACATTTAAAGTTTACTAAATAACAATTTAGTAAGATAAAATAAGTACCTTGTTCATCAACCAAACAGAGCAGAAGTCTGATTAATCATATCCTGAATATAACAGAAAACACCTGATTTCATTGCCTCAAAGTGTTGCTCACAAACATGTTAGTTCAGAACCTTTTTTACTCGTTTTATTAATATATGCATATGTATGTTTATATACAGTATGTATTTAAAATCAATATCATTAGTTCCATGTTTCATTATTTTTATTATTACCTTTTTTCTTTTCAGTTTATTTGATTGGCAGCTGTTTTTTATTCCATCTTTAATGGGCGGGTATGTAACTTTTATGCAGTGAGTTTACCCACTGGGGGCCACAGCATGACAAAAACATTTTTATATTAACTTATATCCAAGGTAATATTTTAAAATAAACTCATGTTACACTTGGGGCACACAATATATTGAAAGTTTAATATTATTGCTGTCATAACACTGTACACCCCATGCATTCTGTGAAGACTGTGGGTCTTCAATAAAGCTAGCAAATTCTTTAGGTACTCTCGCTTCAGGCTCTCTGTGCCTGTAATATACAGTCATGGTAAATTATTACAATCACCTTGTTTTCTCTTTTTTTGTCAATTCTATCTACTGTTAATATAACTTCTTGCTGAGATAAAAATTAAGATTCTGTGCCTGGTTGACTAGACTTTCTGTAGTGGAACGCACAACCAGATCATAGATAGACATTCGAAGATGAATAAATGTTTTTTTATGAAACCAAAGCATGAAGACATAAACACCTTGTAATTATTTATTTTTTATATATTTGTTAAGTCATATTAGTAACGTTCATCATCATGGGATTCCTTAATATCATGAGGTCCTCCATTGTATGCTACCCCATAATGGATCCCAAGATATTCAAGCAATTTTACTAAGGTGCAAAATCTTTATACTTCATTGTTGGTGTGTAATTATGCTTTACGAAGGCATTGATATAGTGTCACGGTCTTGGTTCTGTTAAGTTTTCTTTTGAGTATTCAGTTTTACTTTGCTCCATGTTTTCTAGTTTTATTGTTTTAATTCCTATTTTGTTGTGTTTTTTCGGTATATTTGAGTTCTTAGGTTTTTCTTTGTTGCCCTCTTGTGTTGTTCTCCTTAAACACCATTCTTTTAGAATGAAATTGTGTTTAGTCCCAGAATGGGGAAATTCTGGTGTTCCAGGAGCAAAAAGATCATAGAAAAAATGGTCACACAAATATGGACCTTAGAAAAATGTATAAGAAAAACATAATAGTTAAGAATTAAAAGAATTAACAAATAAAATACTGCACTGTGTTTTAACAATATAAATACTGTGCACCTATACACCTTTACAGTGTACATTTTGAATTAGTAGTTTTTAACGTATTTAGGATTATAGTTTATGTGAATGATATTGTGTATTGTATGTTTTTGAGACTGATTTAGCTCCATAAAAAGGAAATAGTTTTCATCCACTTTGCTTAAAAATCGTGGAATTAAGGCATGCTTTTGGTTTCCTGACACTGCGATAATTGCCTGGGGTTGGTTAATGTAATAAAGAGTTTGACTCATCAGCTGTTGTGCTCTGATCCAAACGTTGTCACCTGCAAAAATACAGCAGGTTGATGTTTGGATAAGTATTTTGATCCACAAACTACTTGTTTAATCCTTTCAAATGAATTAAACACTCAAAGACATTTTCAGTACTATACATACTTGTTTGATGAACATGTAATGCAGAACTCATTGTTTGAAATATGAGGTACTAATGTGATAGCAATGGTAATATCCTGATTATAGGACTCAAGGCTTAGCCAATCCCATTGGTTTTCTAAATTACAACTTAAACACAGTTGATGTCTTTTCCAGATCCATGGTCAAGATCAATTGAGCAAAGCATTTTTTATAGCAAAATAATTTCTAACCAGCACTAAATATTGGATGTGGGATAAAGCTATGAACTGTTAAGTCTGTCATAGTAAAAAAAGTGTTATAGAATGGTAAATTGTTGATTTTTTTAGGAGTATCTTATGATGGACAAACAAAGCTACACCACATTTTTGAAATCCACCTGATTTAAAGTAAAATCACATTCAAGAAGTTTTGTAGAGTTCTACTTGATTGGCTGGAAAATTACAGCAACCAGGAATAGAAGTAGAGGAACCAAACAGCTTAACTTAAGGATATTCTGGGTGATTCAGTAGGACAAGGACAAGATGTGGCGTTTGGAACTTTGTGGGTTTTATTTAAATGTGACAATGTATGTCTTCTGAAAAAAATAAAATTGTGGAAGTTGGGTGACAGCATGTATACAGAGAACAAAAGAGGGTGTCGGACTGACCACTGGGGAGAACAGCAAAATGAAAATTTGTATCACCGTTGAACATACAGTCAAAGTTAGAGTGCAGACTGTGTTCTTTTATTGGCTGTAAAAGGATTTATCAAATACTGCTTTAAGATAACACTAGATGCTATAAGATTAAGCTAGATGCTATGATCACACTTTGTTCCACGTGCAAATCCCTGTAATGATAATATCAGGTGTATTTATGTACACATAGCAACCACTGACTGTCTGCATGCACTTCCTTGGAAACATATGTTTTTAACACTCTTGGTGGTCTGAGACCAAAAGCTTTTTCCAGCTTTTCTTTTTATTTTTTATTTTTTGTGTGTGTGTGTTTGTCAGTGATATTTAGAAAATACATAACATGATAAAATTATGGATCATTAAACTAAATTTCTGGTCAGATTTTATTTTTTATTTTCGAATGAGAGAGAGTATACTTAAAAACATTTTTTTTATATGATGAAGTTTAATAGGTTGCCCTCTCAGGTCTCTAAACATTGGTGCTATGTTTTGGTGGTCGGTTCAGATGCTATCATACTATCATTGTGTGTTTTATAGGTGATGTTTTGGTTTTTTCACTTTTAACCATCTGTTTCTGGGTCTCATTGTTTATTACATGGATGTTTGTTTAACTCAGAGAGCTATGAGCTATGATTTGACTTTGACAGTTATAACAGGTTCCAAAATGTGCAGCCAAATGTATGCTTTTGTTTGGATCTAAACTTGTTAGGAATCATGTCTGCTGTTGGAGTATGCTGAGAAACAGCTACAAAATATGCAGGTGTTTGTAGTTTGACAGTCAGAGCCTAACTTACAGTTCACAGCTTCATCAGACAGTTTAAACATTTAAATAATTATGATTTATTGTGATGCTTAAAACTAATATTAATAGCAATAATAATAATTGGCTGGTCAGTGGAGCAGTGGGTAGCACTGCTGCCTTGCAGCAAGAAGGTTCCGGGTTTTATTCTCGGTCCAGGGTCTTTCTGCATAAAGTTTGCATGTTCTTCCTGAGCATACGTGGGTTCTCTCCGGGTACTCCAGCTTCCTCTCACAGTCCAAAAACATAACTGTTAGGTTAATTGGCTTCTCTGAATTCTCCTTAGGTGCGAGTGTGTGTGTGTGTGTGAATGGTTGTTTATCTGGTCCGTAGACAGCTGGAGGTAGGCATCAGCAACCCTCGCAACCCCAGTTGCGATAAGCGCGACGGAACATGGATGGATGGATAATAATAACAAAATTTAACTTTATTGATCTCACAATGGAGAAATTTTACCTCTGCATTTAACTCATTCCCTTGGGGAGCAGTGGGCTGCCATTGTGCGGCCAACTAGGAAGCAGTGTGGAATTAAGGGTCTTGCTCAGGGAACTAGAGTGCAGGCTGTGGATAAACAAAATAAAAAAAAAAAAAATATATATATATTTTAAATACATGTTTATGTTAAGTCTAGGCTAGGGTTTGGAGTTAACAAAATAAGAAGAATTTGGGAATCCATGTTGGTTTGCTGTGATGTTTAATTCGGTCCCAGTGGTTAAGTCAGTCATATTTACTGGCACTCTTCAGTCACTTCCCACTCGACTTTTTGAATTCACACTAATCTACCTTCACATGCACATAAAAACACATGCAAAACAAAGTGATGTAATTCGCTGCCTCAACAGCCACAAAGAAGGCATGCTGGATCTTTTTCTAACAATTAGATAAAGAATTAAAAGGTACATTTACCAATGTTAATTTAATTTTTGTTGGTGATATTTTATGTACAACCTTTACTTTCTTTCTGTTTCTTTTTTTAAAGGAAGTCTACGGAAGAGGATTAGGGCCAGTGGGGAAAAAAAAAAAAGTTAACTGATTTTTAAATTTTATTTCCGTTTAGTATGGGAAAAAAGTCCGAATTCTGAGATTAAAGTCAGAATTCGGACTTTTTTCTCCGAATTCTGACTTTTTTTTATTGTCAGAATTCAGTCAAAATTCTGAGATTAAAGTCAGAATTCTGAGATTAAAGTCAGAATTTTTTTTCTCAGAATTCTGACTTTTTTCCCATACTAAACTGAAATAAAATAAAAAATCAGTTAACTTTTTTTTTTTTTTTTTCACTGGCCCTAATCCTCTTTTCTGTAGAAGTCTACTCTTATTAGCTCAAATGTTTAGAGTGTATGTCAAAGAGTTTGTTCCCTGTAAAAGTTTTAAGATTTCTTTTCTCTTTCTGTCTCTTCCAGAATAACGAGGTTCTGGTCTGGTGTGAAAACCACAGACGCTGCGCTCAGGTAAATAAACTGCAGTTTCTACTTACTATAACCAGATAAGATACATGAAGAAATTAGAGGGTGTTCAAAAGTCTAAAGAAGAAAAAGTGAGAAAAGTTGCATTAAAATGTTTATAAAGTGATTTAAAAACATTTAAAGCAGGGCACAGTCATATACTAAAAACAATTAATGAAAAATAATAAATCCATGAAACTATCTTAAAAGTAATTTTTGGAATTGAATCATTAAACCCAAAAATAATCAAATTGATTTTACCGCATCTTTTAGTCCTATTTGTTTTTTTGTTTTATTTTTAACTCTGGAAACTTGTAAAAAGGCATTTGGAAAGTAGATTTTTGTACTGAAGTAGCCATTATTGATTAAGATTGTCATTCAGTACAGATATTAAAAATGTAACTCCCTGAAACCATACTAATTTAAAAGATGGAATAAATGTATTTATCCAATCATATAATCTGGTAACAACGGGGCTCTTGTTCTACTCTCCCAGATTATTCATGTGAGGTTTGGTTCATAAACAGTATTTCAGTGACAGGAAGGAACTTACTTGCTCACATATGGGAAAATTGTAAAATTGGAGACACAGAGAAAGAGTAAAAAAAAAAAAAAACATGTTTCAAATTAAAAATGAATGCTTGCACAACAAAACACAGCAGTACTTTTTATGAAATTTCTGAAATGTACGGAAACGTTATGTCAACGTACAAAAATTGATTTTGTATCAGTTAGAAAGTTATTCCACTTATCCCTTACTAATTGTTTTTAGTAATTTTTTGAAAAAAAAAAAAATAATTTTTTTACTTAAACAAAAAATAACCTTGGTTTACTCATTAAATAGAGAATGTTAACAAAGATGTATTTTCTAGGAATAAAGTAAGACACCTACCATGACTCAAGTTGCTCCAGATTTCCATCTACTTGTTTTTGTGGAACGTTTTCCCACTCTTCCCATTAAGCTATTGGTTCGCTTACAGATTTCTTGCTTCCTGCTCCTGTTGCAATTTCCCCTACAATATCTCCAAAATAATACAGATTCAGGCTTTGAATATTTTCCCAAACTTTTTTTTTTTGCAGTCAGTCTTTAGTAAATTTGCATGGATGTTTTGAGTTAATCTCATGTTGCAGGGTATAGTTATTTTTCTGAAGGAGAATAAATGTTGGATTCTATGAGAGTTAGCTTGAGTCCGGCTGCATCAAAACCTCTCCAAGCCATTACATTTCAAGCTGCGTCCTTTACAGTTGGTAAAAGGCCGGGCATGAAGGCTGGCGGTCATTGCTGGAGCCCTGTGTGCTGTGCTGGCAGTTCTGCATAGCATCTGTGTGGCGCTGCCGTGCCTGGATGGGGAAAGCGGTGCCACGGTAACCCGATTGCAAAGAGCGGTCCAAGCACCGGGTTGTTTCTTCTGTCCGGGTGGGAAACATTGCTCTCTGCATGTGGTTTTTACCCGTTTCCTGGACCGTAATGATATGGAAATCCGTCTGGAGCTGCGGCTAGACTAAACTGTGCTACAAGCTAGAGTTCGTTGTTTTATGAAATTAAATATTTCATAAGAAAACGAAAGAAAAATTAACTTTATTGCCATCAGGCACTTTATTAAAGCTATAAAACAGAGAAAACAGGCCATTGATACTTTGGTATATTAAATCCAGCTGATGGTGTGGTAGCAGGATTGATGATAAAAGATTCCGCCGTGATGTAATCTGAACATACGTAGTTTGCTGTATCGGTTTGGACGCCAAAGATTATCCGGATGCTTTTTGTCTATTCTATTTACTTTCCGGATCGTAATTTGATGCAAAACCGGTTCCTTCGGATAATTAAACATTCCTTTTCCGTTGTAATGATGTCTTAACTATCCTTTCAGGGTGCTTAACAAGTCGTGAAGAAGTGTTTGTATATACCCGCCGAAGGACGTTTGACTACACTGACGTCACAGCAGGGGAGTGGCGGCCTAGTGGTTAGGGCATAGGGCTTTGAATCCTGAGATTGTGAGGTCAATCCCCCACTCC